TAACATGGGCAAAGCAATGGGTTCAGGTACCGGAGTTGGCCGAGCTGGTGCAGGTGCACTACGGGCTCCACCAAACCCAATGGTAGGTTCTGGCATGGGCATGGGTATGGGTGGTATGGGTATGGCTGGTGGTGGTCCTGGCATGGGAGCATATGGAGGAGGGAACCAGCCTTATCGCGGCATGGGGATGAACAGACCTATGAACAACATGGGCATGGGAATGAACACGGGTCAAGGATTTCAGATGCAACAGCCTTCCGGATTCCCCCCTGGACCTGGAGCTCCCATGCAGGGAGGTTACAATCCGCGAATGGGCATGGGTCCCTATGGCCAACAACCATATGGTGGAGGATACCAATGAAATTTAGCCCAATTCTGAAAGTAAGAAACCTTTGTGTCATATTATCGGGAATGTTTACTAGTCGGTAAGCCTATTGAACTCACCACTCACCCTCTGTTGTAGAGTTGATACTTTTTGGGTGCCTGTAGTTTTCCATGATAAAAGTTATAGAGGAGAGTATATGTTGATTCCTTTTCTTCAACTTTGTTCTGCAATTGCATTTCCTTTTTATCTGCCATTTTGGGGTCAAAGATTGCTCACAGGGCCCCTTGTAATGTTTTGCTGTTGTGCCTTTGTACACACTCGAGGATCACTTGTTTATGGTGTTCCTCTTTTTGCCACTTGATCATATATCATTCATATTCATTTTCATATATTATTACAAGTAGTGGGAAGTCACAAAAGTAAAAGTTGAAATACTATTTTGCCCTATCTTAATTCAAAATGTTATAATATATGTAAGCAATTAAATATTAAATAATTGATATATTATATTATATTAAATACTAAAAATGACAAGGTGTTTTAAAACACATTTTAAGTATGTCTCTCCATTCTCCAACATAACTTTTGACTTGTAAATATTATGTGCCTGAGGTAAAATAATTATTGACAAATAACTAATTCGTCTTCCATAACTAAGAAGAAAAAAGAAATTGATTTCGTCAATTATACAAAATGCTTAAGCACGAAGATTGCAGATTAAGGTAAAAGGTTGTATTGGAGTGTTCTTTCGCTTTTTGAAGGGTTTAAACTTAGTAGTGTCTGTCGTAGTAGTACTCTTATTCTTGTACTGTCTTCCTTTTGCTTTCTACCACCAAATATTTTTATGGTGTTTCGGTTATTGCACTTTTTTGTTGTTATTGTTTTTCATAATCGTATTATATTATATCCTCTTTATTGACATTTTTCTTTTTTATATTTACTCTAATTTTCTATATTGTATATGTATATGTTATGATATATGAAGCAATGAATATGTAAATCGTCTTTACTTTTGTCAGAAATAAGTATTATCTTATTTTGGAGAAAAATATGATGCATACTTCGTTATACATAATTTGTAAATCATAGGATTTGTCCGTGCAAATACTTCCCTCCCTCTCATGGTCTGTGCCTTTTGTTATTTCCTCTTTAAATTTGTAGCTTCCGAATATGAATAGCTTATTAATTCTATATTTATTTTTCATCTATAATCTATATGAATTAAGTCTTGCGAATGATGTGTATGTTTTAGTGTTCTTCTATTTGTTGTGTGGTTTTTGTGAATTTTTTTTAATCATTATCGTAAGTATGTATGTTATTGGGCTTATATTATTCATATCACTTTATTAGAAGTGTGTTACCAACTAAAAAAGGCGCAAAAACATATTATAATTATTGTTATTGCAAAAGAAATAAGACACTAATTCTTATTATAGTCGCGGCTAAAAGAAAGAACTAATGGAACAAAAACGTGCCAAGAATTCTTCACATAAAGAACGTCGCTAAAAGTTCATATTCATGTTACCAAAACCGCCACAAAATCATATTACAATTATTGTTACAAGATTGATTGTATTAATGACAACTAAAATAACGACTGAATTATTGACGCTAAAAGATGGTATTTGTGGTATTTAAAATTGTTGCCGCTTAAAAATAACAATTAGCGACTAAAACTAAAGGTTTTAGCGGCGGTTTAAGTCGCCGTTAAAAGTCTCTTTTAGTCACAACAGTTAAAAGTTTTTTAGCTACCAAAATAAAGGTTTTAGCGGCAGTTTTTAGTCGCCGCCAGAAGTCTTTTACTTACAGAAATTAAAGGCTCAAGTATAGTCGTCGCTAAAAGTCGATTTTTTGTGGCGAACTAAAACTTATGAAAGTCGTCGCTAAAAGGTATGAAGAATGTACGCTGAAGTCAATGTTGATGGCGACATATCCGTCGCTAAAAGGTATGAAGTCGTCGCTACAAGTCAGTATTAGCGGCGACTTGAATCCCGTCGCTAAAAGTTATGAATTTCGTCCCTAAAAGTTACTTTTAGTGGCGACTTTGACCGCCGCTAAAACTTATGAATATCGTCGCTAAAAGTTAGTATTAGCGGCGACTTCAATCCCGTCGCTAAAAGTTACTTTTAGTGGCGACTTTATCGCCGCTAAAAATTATGCATGTCGTCGCTAAAAGTCAGTATTAGCGGCGACTTGAATTCTGTCACTAAAAGTTATGAATTTCGTCGCTAAAAGTTACTTTTAGCGGCAACTTTGGCTGCCGCTAAAACTTATGAATGTCATCGCTAAAAGTATGTATTAGCGGCGACTTGAATTCCGTCACTAAAAGTTATGAATTTTGTCGCTAAAAGGTTTTTAGCGACAAAAAAATCAAAGGTTTTAGCGACGATTGTAGTCGCCAGTAATTGTTACTTTTAGCAACAAAAGTTGATGTTTTATTACTAAAAGTGACTATTAGTAACAAAAACTAAAGGTTTTAGCGGCGATTAAATTCGCGCTAAAAGTCACTTTTAGTGACAAAAAATAAAGTTTTAGCGGCAGTTGTGGCGCCACTAAATCATATAAATTAGCCACTAAAAGAAAGAATAAGTGGAAACTAAAACTGCCCCTAATTCCTATAAAGGCACAACAAAAAGTACAGTTAGTGGCATTATAAATTGCCACTAAATCATATACACAGCTAAAAATATGCATTTGGGGCAACTATAATCGTCACTAAAAATTGCCGCTAGTATTATTATAAGTGGGAAGATTCAAACTGCAAAGTTGAATTACCATTTTGTCCCTCTACTTAATTAATAAATGAGTACATTGATATTGCTTTAAATTGTAATCATAAATTTCGTAATGGAAGAATTTGATAAGTTATGATATGGAAAGTCATTCATAACCTTAATGTAGAAATCATATAACTTTTATTCGTGATCATAAATCTCATAATGGAGCAAATCTCTTAATCCTATTTAAGAACTAACTTACAAAGATGGAAGCTCACAATCGAAAATCGAATTAGGAAAATCGCACAATTCAACATGAGAAGATAAGAAAGTTAGAAGTTGCAAGTGAGGATAATCGAAAAAATGTTGAAAATTGATAATCAAGAAGAAAAAGTAGTAGCGGAAAAAAGAAGAAGAGTAAATCGTAGTATTAAACAATGAGTTGTGTTATGCTCATTTGGTAAGAAATACTCTGTCAATCCACTTTTGATTGTCATTTGACTAATTTCCAAAGTTAATTTAGATTATTATATATTCAAAACTTATACGAAAAATAATTAAAAAAACATGATATTGTGAAACTTGAAAGTAAATAACACGAATGTGCGTAAGATTGTACATATTTCACTTACGAAAGAAGTGAAGATTGAAGGAAATAACATTTACAATAATAAGCATTCGTCTATGTGGGAATTATTTATTCATTTTTGCAGTAAAAATTGAGCTATGAGCAAAATTGAGAGTTTTCCAAGTAAACAAACAAACAGGCCAAGATTTGCCAGGAGATAAACAGAATGTGTGCCAATGTTGCAGCATTTGTCAAAACAAAGCAGAATTAATTATATAGTTTCCTACTCTCTTTTTCTTTTCCGATGAACATGAATTAGTCATATAGTTTTCCTATGTTGGTTTCAAAAGAAACATACGCGTGTCGAGTTAATAGACCCATAGAGACTAGTTACAAAAGGAGAAAGAATCAGACATGTTTAAAACTCGAGAATTCATCCAAACAGAGTGAAATTTGAATGCTCTACAAGATTACAAGATAGCATACTGACAAATTCAAGTCATATGTTTGGACCTCATAACTTAAAAATATCTCATTACTTTAGTTACCAAACAAAATTTTGCATCTTCATCAAATGTCTAATAATTTGGCATACAATAAAGAAAGTTATTTGAATACATTGATTGATTCATCTATTTTAAATTATATAGTATTTTTGTAATAGCTTGCGATAGTGATCAAAACGTGATTTCGACAGTAATTCATACATTTGACAAGACTCACGTGCAAAGCATGTGTAGTCTTACTAAAAGTGAGAAGCTCCAAAGATGAAAAGTTTGATTAAAACGGCAGTTGCATACTATTACTCTGATAAAATATTAAAGGTGACAACCTAGTGTAAAATTTATGAAGGAATATGAGTTGCCTACGCATATAATGCCTGTAAATTATTATCTAAGTATACAAATGTAGTTTGAAAACTCGTACTCTAAGCAATATTGAACTCCAAGCACACTAGCATTTGAAAAAAAATATTAATCAAGTTAAAAGAGTACGCAATTATTATCGAAAAATGTAACTTATTTAAGTATTGCGTAGTTAGGAGAGGTAGAGGTAGAGGCAGAGGTAGGCCATAGAAATTTGGGGGGGAGGTGAATTAAGTATGACATGGTATAAGGACATAGCTTTACTAAGGCCAATATGCGTTAATATCTGTTGCTATACTTGTCTTGTACGTTGTTATATTTTTTCTCTTTTTCTTTATTAGTGACATTTTTTGAGCCGAGGGTCTATCAAAAACAACCTCTCTACCTCACAAAAATCTAATTGTGAATCGGTTTTGATAGATTTACAATATAAATATTGGGGTGATGGGAGATTCTTGATAATTTTGCATTACATTGGATTAGTCAAGAAAGTGAAAACTTACTTATAAATCAACAAGAATATGAAAAAGAAGAAATTTTATATTTTATTGATTTGGTGCATAAAGCACATGAAGATACACAAAACAAGTAGTTATAACTAATGGAAAAATGAATAAAATAAAGCCTTTAAGATATCAAAGTCAGATACACCTTAAAGGACCACTAACAAATTATTTTCTTCCTATGAGGAATAATTAATTAAGTTGTTGATACAATGATAACAATGTGCAAGAAAAAAGCCACAAGAGAAGAAGAAACAAATTGCTCCATGTTGACTGCTTTATCCCAATGATGTTTGGAGCTTCTCCTCAAAGTAGGATCTAAAAAATGAAAAATAAAACACAATGTTAGAGCCTTAATTGAAATATAAGAAGAATAAAAGGTTGATCACATAGGAAAATAGAAAGAGTCACTTACATAATTGGTTATGGAGAATGGCTAAGCTCTTTTTAGAACTTAGTAGTGGGTCGGAGGTGGTGGGGAGGCGTACATGTATACTGGTGGAGGGGGTGATTTCACGGGTGGAGGAGGTGAGTTGTAGTAGTAGGGGGGAGGAGGAGATTTTACTGGTGGAGGTGGTGAGTGGTAATAGTAGGGAGGTGGAGGAGAAGGTGACGGTGGAGGTGGTGACTTGTAGTAGTAAGGTGGAGGTGGTGATGGGGATGGTGGAGG